TCAGTGCAATTAGTATATTCTTCTGTCATACGTGCTTACAGCTGACAGGGTTCAGTTATAAGTGACTTACAGCTGACAGGGTTCAGTTATAAGTGTAGCACTGCAGTCTGCAATCAGCTGAAAGGATCAGTCAGCAGTAGAGACTCTATTGTCATTATTGATGCACTTTGTAGACAATATCATTGCACTTAAGACGCGTGGAAGCCGTTAATTCCATTGTCACGAAGGCAGTCGGAATAAAACACTGAGAGAAAAACTAAAATTATAACTAGATAAAACACTGAGAGGAAAACTAAAATTATAACTAGAATTATGATCTATCTAAAATTATAACGATTTTTTACTGCAATCATATTTTCTATAGTAAAATAGTAATATGCATGTAAGGTTATTATTACTAACATTAAAGCAGAATTGAATAAAACATTTTTTTCTTGACCATAATTTATAATAATTATTTCTATAAATTAACGAACTTGTGTATTATAGATTTCATAGTGAAGTTCCTCTTTCACTGGTTAAAATCAGTGAGATATAAGATGCGAGCAGTAAGAATGTTTACTCACTGAAAATCAACGAATATACTGAAAAAAATGATTATTTTACACGGAAAGAAAGTTTGGTTGAAATAACCAAATGCTTAGTGAGATATGAACAAATCAGAAATTTCGTTTGATGTCATTAAAATTCTATTCAAATTAACAAGATTTTTGATTAAGCAGAACTTACAACTATTCAACTTGAACAGTTACAATCTCTAGTTAACCAGAAATCTTGTTTGGTTGACCAGAATCTTGTTAACTTGAACAGAATTCCGGTAACTTTAACCAGAATTCTGATTTGTTCACATTTCATCACTTTTGGTTGATCCAACTTAATTACATTTTTTTCCGTGTGACAAGATTATAGCTATCTTTGGCCTAACTATATTTTTTATTGTTCTAATACGAAAATAATGATAGTAACATGCACATATAAGGTCATTATTAATAAAATTATAGTAAAATTAAATTAAAAAAGTGATTTCCTTGATCTATGATTATTTCTTTACGTAATCATAGTTACAATAGCAGACATTTTTGTCTCAGTGCACTGATTATCGGTGAAGTAGTTCTTTTTTACTAATTTAATCACAAATATTTTTGATTCACACCTTAAGAGAATACTAGTCCCGCCTGATAACACTGTGACTTTTCGACCATTAGACCAGAAACAGCCCTTTGGGCATAACACCGCGGGAATTTGCCGCGGATTCAAGATGCAAGAGTGAGACGCGCACGTGCGCTTTGTTGGCTTAGCTGATCCGCGCGGATGCGATCTACCGGACGTTCGTAAATCGAATTCTTTGGCGACGAGAGGGTAAACTCTCTTTTCTTTTCTCTCTCTCTCTCTCTCTCTCTCTCTCTGTTTCTCTGTCTTTCTTTCTCTCTCTAGTTCGCGCACATACGCGCGTCAGCGGCACACACGCGGGACGTAATAATGGGGATTTAACAGTCATTAGGGACGGCATGCCGGTATATATCTGTCGATTGGTAACGCAAAGTGTTTGCACTAGGGCCGAACTGTCGAAGGGCGAGGGTGGGAGTGCCTCGTTGCAGCGGGAGATCGATTCGACGAGAAGGGGGCACGGGGTGTGCGCGGGGGTGTAAAAGGCACCCTCGCTATCTTTCTCTAGTCCTACCGTTTCTGTCGGGCTCTCCACAGGGTCGTAGACTACTCGAGTGCCCTCGAGGGCCAATCGAGTGGCGGCTTGGGCATTTTGTCCACACTTGGCGGTCTGTAACAAGTGCATTGTCCCATGCACCAAAGTGCACAAAGATAAAGAGACTTCTGGCTACCGCAACAAGAGGATCGTCGAGTGCCCGTTCTTGCACGTGCTCTCTCTCTCTCTCTCTCTCTCTCTCTGTCTCTCTAGACCCCTCTTATTCTGTTTCTACCTCTTACTCTCGCGACGCGGTTCTAATATGACGAAAGTGCAAATAAACGTGCCATGCGGACGACAGTGCAGCTCGATAAGCTTTTTATTTGCGAAGGAACAGTCGGAATTTTCGAGTTAACGGATAACATCAAACTTAACGACGAAGACTGGACACTTAATCTAGGGGTAATAATATACGCTGGAAGATATTCCGGATTAATGTTCGTCTGCTTTCGTGCGAAAGTAAGTTCACGCTCGGAGACGTTAACGAAGTGAAGAAACTCGTGCCGCCGGAATAAAAAGAAAATGGGCAAGGCTAGCGCGACGAATAACGGTGATGTGCGCGGTCGTTAAAAAGTTCTCGACAGTGACAACCGCTTTCGGCGTTCCGTCCACGCCGTACGGCGTGTAACAAGTGCTTTGTGGCCGGTGCAAGGCCGCGTAAGTGCACAAAAGTGGAGATTCGCGCCTGGCTGATTTCAGGAGGACCCGGGAGAATACTCTGCCTTTCTTCGGGCCTTCGCCCTTTCCTTTCATGGCGGGCAGAATTTTAATATAGCCGGGACGAGGGAGGCGGCGTCACGGGGTAGTGTATACTCTATGGATTCTTTTTCACCGGGTGGCAACTTCATTCCGGTCCCGAGGATCGGGAGGAAATTTGCGCGCGGACGTAATGAGACGTAATATTGGAAACGCAATACGGCGCGGCCTCGCCTTTCACGTCCGCGATATTAAGTACTTGTAATTTCATCGAGTTGCTGGGCAACATCTGTGAGACGCTCTCGTTGCTCCATGTGCCACGACGAAAAGAAAAACATTATTTCATCGATACGGAATTTTAGTCGTTACAGAGTGCGATGCTCGTGATGACATGTCGTGTTCATTCGCGCGCGAGGTAAAGTAAACTTAAATTTTTAATAACAAATTTTAATTCGCGAAAGTTTTTCTTGCTCGTAAACTGATAGTATCCTTTTTTCAATTACAGACGTGAATTTATTTCAATCGTCAAGTACGTCAGCCGCGAGAGATTGCGTCACAGAACATATTTCGATAATTAATTTATTTCGATAAGTTGGTTTAATAATAGAACGCATTTAGTAATCATCTAGAATGCAGTCGCGATTATATTTTAAAGCTGTAGCATTAGTCTGTGAGTCGCGATTATATAGTTATTTTCTCTGCGTAAACTCGTAGAAGATGAGGAGTTTCATCGACGAATTCAACAAAACTTTTCATTTCTCACAAGTTTGCGCGAAGGAAATAGATATTACATATGATCGATTCACAGACTAATACTGTAATTCTAAGCAGAATCGTAAGTCACGTAAGTTGTTCTCGTAAAATTCGTAACAACTTATGAGTAGATTTATAATTCTATGCATATCATATATCGTACAGTCACTTGTAAATATTGTAAATTACATGAAATCGTAGATATTTACGAGTAATCGTACAACATACGGTACGAATAGAATTGTAGATCTACTCATAAGTTTTTACGAACTTTACGAAAGCAAGTTGCGAATCTTGCGATTCTGTTTAGAATTGCAGCATAAATGCTATGACTTCAAAACGTAACTGCGATCGTATTGTAGACGATCACTTACAGTTACAGAAGTAAACTAGACTCAAATTTTTAATAACAAATAACGACGAATGAGTCATAACAAAGCTCTAATTCGCGAAAAGTTTCTTTTGCTCGTATCCCTTTTTCATTCATTTGAACCGTCGAGAAAACGTCAACACCAAGGGAGTTAAATTGTGTCGTATAACGTTCCAATAACAACCAGTTTATATAAATTTCGATCGCGACAGAACGCGACATGCGTACACACGTACGTTGCTACGAGGTAGGAGAACGAACGTGGGTGTTTCATCCGTATTTGCGCGAAAAGACCGGCGCTGCGGCAGCTCTGTTAGTACTCTGAAGAGTCCTTTCGTACCGCGCGCGCGTCTATTCAGTGAAATCTAGTTTCAATATAGCGCGGAGAGTTAAGAGAGGACGCGGAACAATACATTATTAAAGACGGGCTTGCCGGTGTAAGATTTCATTTCGGAATCGCACACCATCGCGCGAATCACCGGCTCGACAGCCCGCGTCGACGTCGGCTAAACGAGTCGTTGTAAATAGAGATCTCCTCGGAATGAATGTCGGGGCGGCTGGTGACTAAGATACCGAACGCTCCGGTCGTAATTCTAGCTCTCCGAATTGCGCGGATCGTGCGTCATCGTCGTGTAAATTTGTAGCGCTCGTTGAAGATTGAGTGGATCGCGTCGAGACGGATTTTCATCATCGAATCGTCATCATTATCATCACCGACAGCGGCGGGCGAGGCGGATCGAAATGAGAAGATAGGTGGACATTGAGAGGCAAAAATCAGAATTTCAATTTAACAATTTCACCCCTTCGAATACGTTGTGCCAACATACTTCGAACAGAATTTCGGTCGAGGTCTACAGAATTGGTGCTTTCGACCTGTGTGACGTCTCGATTGCTTACGACACGAACAAAAGATGAATACTTAAGAGCGAGCAAGTGTCCCCTCTTCGCCGTAGGGTCTAAATAAAAATGATTAACTCGGGGACACACTCGTCCTCATCATCATGACGCTGGTGACGCTGTCGTCACCCGATTGTTCTTCGCGCGGCACGGCCGTTAATTACTTAACGATTAGCATCCCTTAATCCGAGACATGTGGACGGCGACGTCCAGAAGGCAGGAAACAATGCGCGTTCCGTCCGCGCCGCAGATGTGCACGGCCATAGCGCGCAGATGTAATAAACGTGGCGGTAAATAAATTAACAAGTCGACACCACCGGAGAAGGCGGATAGCGGCGGGAGAGACGGGAAAGGGGGCGAGGGGGACTATATCGTCCGATAGACGTCGTTCCTGACTTTGTAACTGGAGAGGATAAAACGCGTCTTAAGCCAACGGCTAAGAGCGCAACGGGAAGGCTGCGTCCTCAGGGTCGGCTCTCTGTCTCTCGTTCTTGTCGATCTTGGTTTTCGGGCCATCGCTACGTTTTCGGAATTAGATGGCCCCTCGTGTGAGAGGGAAGACACTTAGGGACCTGCACCTACCTCGGAGTCTTGTTGCACCTTCGTCCTCTGGGATTATCGTCCCCGCAGCTGCCAACCTCGCATAGTTCTCACTTTTACCGCGACGGTGATCGGCTTGTATTTGTTTAAAGCGCCGCGACGACTACTTCTCTACCCTTCCCCGTTGACGACGAACGATCCATTCGATGGTCGGCATGCCGCGCGAAGCCGTAACGGGACTTCCCTCGGGACGAAAGGACCTCGTACGATGTTTGCAGTCGACCCACGTCCGCTTTTCTGTGTAAAGATTAGCAGAATTAGACGAAGTTATATCAGGAAAAGACCAACGGTTTCTGTAGTAAACTCTAAGCGCTATTCGGGCCGCTATTATTCTCGGATCGTATGACTCGATCAGTCGCCACCGACGTCTATATTTCCTAACGTATTATACGCCTTTCTTGGCGCTTACCTTTCCCATCTTCCCCGTAGATAAGATTTTTGTCTAGTATAAAGCTTTTCTTTCGCAGTCCTTCGGGAATAAGCATACACACATATACACACGTGCACACAATGTTGATTTCATTCACGTCGTCTTTCAGGCGGAACCTGTAACTTGGACGTCGAGGACGTCTCTCTAAGGAGACCGCAGCGGGGGGGTGGTCGTGCTGGGGGCCGAGGGGGTGGTGATGTGGCCGAACAGCCTCGGAGGTACTTCCGGCTGCAGCGGGGGCGCCGGCGCCACCGATCTCGGGGGCCTCGCCGCCTCCACCACCTCGGCCTCCGAGCTCTTCGGGCCCGCAGCGTTCGGCGCGTCCGCCGCTGGGCCCTACGGCGCTCTCAAGACAAATCCCTACGTGAGCGCGCTCGGCATGCCGCCGATCGAGGCACTACACTCGACCATCGGTTATCCCGGTTGTACACCCGCCGGTGAGTCCTACTACTGTGAGTGCCCATCATATTGTTTTATTACTTCTAGTAGAGCGAGTCGGGGTTGCAACCTTTCACCCACGGTTTCGTGCTTCGTGTCGCATCAGGAAATGGGAATAAATACGCGAGGGCATCTCGCTTTTGCACCAGTTGCTCCTTCTTTGAAATTTGTCAATCAATTTTACATAGAGTTATGTGAGTGAATTAATAAAATAAAGTGTGATACCGTGCTGTGTGTAATTGGAAAGCAAGGCAGAAGTGTCATTAAAGTGGTGTAATGCGGCATTATTTATTAATCGCGTTAAAATATAAAAGCTATTGAATTATGCACGAAAGTTGCGGCCGACTCGTGAAAATATTATAATGAAAATATTATTGATGTTAATTTAATTATTAACAATCGGCTCGTTTATTTTATTAATCGCCATCGATTACTTATTGAACGTGGTTGACGTTGTATACCTCGTATTTAATATTCATAACTCGTTTATATTCGTGAGGTAAAAGCCGTACGGATAAAGATTCTGTCGCATTTATAAAGGCAATCCGAGAAAACAACGGCGGGAGAGGACAACCTTCACTCGGGCGCAGTTAGACGTATTGGAGGGCTTGTTCTCGAAGACGAAATATCCCGACATCTTTATGCGCGAAGAAGTAGCGATGAAGATCAGCCTACCGGAGTCGAGAGTGCAGGTAAATCGCGGACAGAAAATCTATGATATACTTGTCGCTGCTCTCTTATAGTGAATCTGTAAAAATGTTTCTGACTAATTCTGAGAAAATGAGGCATTTCGGTAATCAATAAGCATTGATCGATTTTCAGTGAACACTTCTACTTGAATGCTCTATCTTATTTTTGATTTTGACCAGTAAAAGTGAGATTTCACTGTGAAGTCTAATATATAAATTCCTTGTGCCAAATTCAATTTTCTGCGTTTGTGGAATTATCAGCTTCCATGCATTTTGCGTACAATGACACCATCTGTATTCACAAAACATATCAATAATAAGAACAGTTGCCATCCTAGTAGAAGTGACCTTTTTCTAGCCGGTGACTAGTCAGAAATTTTGGTTGGCTAATTTCTGGCCACTTTGGACGACGCTTGCTTGGTCAATAATTGGACAGCCAGTTTTCAACCAAACTTATTTTTGTACAAAATTCTATTAAATAGTTTTTATCATGTGATTTTACACATTTTGTAATATATTATATTTTATTATTCAGTATAAAAATAACGTGAAATCCGTGTTTTTCAGAAAGTAAAGTCTTTTCAAGAATGCAAATTCATTATTGAGATGGTTATATATTTATTTTTAATTAATTATTTCTTTTGTCTTATTATCTATTAGCCGATATTTTTTAGCCATCCAGGTAACAGTAACGTCTAAAGACATCTTAATGATATATTTTTGATATTAAAAATGTTAATATGTCATTTAACTGCTATCTGGAAAGTTTCTTGAAAAGTGATCGTCTAATAAACTCTAACTGGTAAAAACTAGTCAGTTTCTGGCTAATGACTAGTTTTTCTTGAAAATTTCTTTGTTTGAATATTATTAACTGATTTTTTTAGTGAAATCTACTGATTGCAGTGCTATATTTATAATTGATCCATCAATTATAAGTGTAAAGTAAAGTAAAGTAAAGTTTCAATAAATAATACACTCTCTGATTGTATTTGAAAGAGTGGCGAGCAACTCGGCAAGATATTTTACTGAGGCATTCTCTAGAGTCGCGCTACAACAGATAGAAAAGTGCGACGCGCACGTAGATGTACGCGAAGGGTGCGAGAGTGTCTTGTTACCGAGGGGGTATGCAGTGTCGGCATGCAGACAGTGCGGTCATCATCGATCTTGCCTCGTGTGTCCTTCGTTGGAGTTAATTAAGTTACTTGTCCACCTCACAAACGCCTATACGAGAAGTTCTCAGGCCTAAATAAAAGCGTTGCGGTAGTAAGAGACCTTTTAATGCGGCTATATAAATTAATGAATGACGCAGTATTTGTATTCGCAGCATTTGCAACTCCGTGTTGCACGTGGTCAAGGGAACTTGTTTTGTACAACAATACATGAAAAATGGCATTTCTGAAATCGATTTATCGGCGTTGCTCCTGAATGCTTCTAACTTTGTGCCATTTCGCTGGCCGTGTTGGCCGAGTCCGCAGGATCGATCCTAAAGCGTGTCCTTGCATATTATACCTTCATCATGGCAGAAAGGGCGCAATACATCCGCAGTTACCGTTCAACACACCTGGCGAACGAGATGAATAGGCTAGCATCGTCTATAGTCTTCTGCACGTTCGTCGGCGTCTGCAAAACCAGAGACTGCTTGACTCATGATCACTGTTTTCGAACCCCTCCATGACTTTTCAGTAGTTGACCTCTCTACGTCTATTATAGCATTAACAAGGCCATGCTTTTTATACTTTTGCTCAATAGTATCTCGTACGTTTGTTGCCATCTTCGTCGCCATCGACTTGCTTCTATAAAATTGATCAAATTTGGAGACGTCACGCCGTCAACATTTCTTTCTTGCTACTTGAGAAATTCCAGTTTCTCAAAGCTCGCGTTATTCTTATATCACGATGCGTGCGCGGAGAAAAAGTTTAGTTGAATTAATTTTACAATGAAGTGTGCTAAACGCTCGCTTTTGCTCAAAGGAGCTTCTGATGCTTAGAGCTGAATTTACTTCGTAAGAATTGAATTTGTTTCATTCTTTTTCAATTGAAACGTGTTTAGTTCATTTATTGTCAGGTTAATTCAAATGTTTTTTTCGTGTGCATCGGGTTCTTTCGGTGAAGGAACGTGAGTTGTTAGTGTCATCCGCCAGAAAATCCGTAGAAACCCAAGCTCACTTCTCTCTCTCTCTCTCTCTCTCTCTCCCTCTCTTTCTTTCTCCGCTTCTAACATCGATCGCATGAGGCTTCTCTAAGTTCCAATCTCTTTTCCTGACGCATTTCTCCCCTCTATCTTCTTCCACTTCTTTCCTCACTCATCTTTCTACCGTCTCTATATACCAGTGACGTTTCGGAGGGCAAACGACGAACCGAACAAGAGGCAGTATCATTTTTCATAAGGATGAGAAAATATTATAATATTTTTTAAGATAGTTTAGATAACGAAGCACCTTATTGAGACGCGCTAGATGGCAATGTTTACCAGAAGAAATTATGGAAATTCGTAAAATGACTCGAATGTAAAAAGGAATAGCAAATAAGAGCCTTGTCGCAGTTATCAATGTATAATAATCATACACTGCGATAAACAATTAACTACTTAATAACCAAAATCGAAGCTTCGATTCAATAACTGACACTTTTCAGTGGTTGTGTGTCATCGGTTAAAAATGATGTCGATTATAAAAATGAAATAAAATTGCAAGAATGAAGTGAAGCGAAGTTAAATTAACGAACTGCTGACGTTCATACAACCACTGAGGAGATCATGATAACTACAGTAAGGCTCTTACCTGCTATTCATTTTTACGTTTGAGTTTGTCTCCGAACGAGCCGTATTTAACATTTATAGTTTTTCTCTTTGGCGGAACAGCATTCCGTATCATTCTCCGCGAGCCATCTCGAGCTTCGAGTGCAAGAACGATTTTTAATGTGCGTGTGAGCGTAATTAGCAGCTTCATTACAAGGTGTCCGTAAGAGGCCGGTGGACACTTTAAACGCAAACCGAAGCGATTCCGTCGGTACGCAAAATCGGCTTATTCCATTCAGAGTTGTTCAGTGTGTGTGTATGCGTGTGTGTATAGTGTAGAGAGGAAGGAGAGAGGGGGACGACCTATACTCCAATCGGTTTTCGTAATTCTGTTGCATTAACGACAGCCTGCTAGCGAACCAGTCCGATATGCGTGCACGTTTTCGTTCGCGCTGCTGCAGTCAGCTTGATTGGTAATTGATAGTCGCGCCAGTCCGGCATTCCCTTATAATTGGCTATTACGCCAGCTTTGCGAAAGCCCCACGCGGCGCGTACTGGACTAGCGTTTTGTGTTGCGCGTTTGTGCGCGTCGCGTGTCATGCTAGGACACGCGAAAATGTCGCTCGGTTCATTTCGCCTGTTGAGAGAGAGATGCGCAACTTGATTCTCTCCCGGCGCCGCGTGAGCCAGCGCGGCTTTAGGCGTACGCCCCCCGACTGTTGCGTAACCGTGCGCAGCGTAACGCAAAACGCGGATGTAAATTGCCCCGCGTGTTCGCAGGTGTGGTTCAAAAATCGCAGAGCCAAGTGCCGCCAACAGCAGAAGCAGCAGCAGCAGCAGCAAGACAAGGCGCCGAGATCCAAGAAACCCACGGGGAATCCGGCTAGCAATCCACCACCTGGGAAAAGTCCGTCGATTGCTACCACGCCCACGCCCGCCGCTGCGGTACCCGCCACTACGCCCTTGTAAATATCGCTTATCTTCGAGAGCCACGTTCTGTCGCCCGCGATCGCGCTCAAGGACCTTTATCTCGGCCGAGAATGCGTCCTCGCGCTGGATAATCGATGAGAGATTTCATTATAAGCCCGATAATTACTATTTCTATTTCAAGTATACCTTATGGGTGCCAGCCATTGAGAGATACCCGTTATAAACGCGAAATTGTACACTTCCTTTCCGTTTCCACGCACTTCCTCGCGCTTTAATCTCGAGTGTTCGGGACGCTAATTGACCGAGGCGCAATCGAGGATGGCGCGAAAGCGGAATACGCGAGCTATAATGCGTTTCTGTATGCAGGAGCGGAGGTACTGGCGGCTCGGCAGCAAGTTCACCGGCGCTTTTAAGGGATTCGCCGCAATATAAGCCCGCAGGAAACGCTACCAGTTTGCTGTTAGCAGCCAGCACGACTCCACCGAGCGTAAGTGGTCGACGACTGTTTCGCGGACAGTATTCCTCGGCGTGTATCCGCGCGCGATAAGCCAATTTAGATTCGAGCCTTTTGTGCTTCCGTATAGCCTCCGGAATAATCGTTCACACACGCACCGTCATGCCGTTCTGTTTAACAGTTAGGCGGCACGGTGTACAGCAGCGGGGGCAGTAGCAGTAGTATTTGGAGTCCGGCGATTACGGAGAGCGGCGGGGGATTTCCAGGTGACCATCAAAGGTTAGCGTGGACGACAACCGCTTCCCAACAGCAGTGCTACCAGAATTACTCATCATACTACACCAACATGGATTACCTCTCGCCCGCTTCGCATCAGTTGAACGTTGTGGTAAGCAGATTGTTCTCTAAAGAAGAACATTAAAAGCGGACCATTTTCGACTCATTGGCGTAATCTTAACTAATCATTGAAAATTGTTCCTGTAATCTTTTAGAAGTGAAAAATAACAATCATTTGTTTACTAGGTTTGGGAAAAGTTATGAAAATTATAAGAACATTTTCCATTGATTAATTGAAGTTCAGTGGATCAAAAATAGTCTCTCACATGTCTCAAAGACGTCCAAAAGACGTCTTTGAGTCATGTGAGAGAAAGAAAAAACAAAGTAAGACATCTTTTGAAATGTCAAAAGACGTTTTTGAGACACGTGTATCGTATAGCCTATTTTTAAGATTCCCTTTATCTCCCAAATAAACCCTCCATTATCTAAATTCATTCCTCTAAATCCATTCCTCGTAAATGTACGACGATGATGACTAACGCGTAAGAAAAATATCGAATAGAGAAGCCACCGAAGGGAAGCGCATTGCATAAAAGAGAATCGATATTGTGTCGCCAGGACAGCGGAGGTAGCGGCCTTGACAACTCGTGGAGCAAAACGAGAGACGAGAGCGCCTCGTCTTGGTTCTACAATAGTGCTGGATGGGGCGATCGGAAGTGAAGGTAGGAGAGTCGCAGAACGAAGGCTGGATACATATCATCGGCAACAGCGAGGGTAATGCGCTACGAAACGACGTTTGTCGTTGTAATACGGTGCCAAACTAGTAGCTCCACTTGCAGTGAGTGTCGATGTAGATTAAACATATCCTTCATTCGGCCAGCGCTCGGGCACCTTGGGATGCACAGGCCGATCGAGAGTGCCATACGTATCCTATCGCATTTATTGATACGACATAGTTTAAATATATTTATGACGTAATCATTTCGATACGGGATGGCGAACTGCACGCGGTCGTGTGTTATTTTTTCAGATACATTCACGAGGAATCATAAATGTGTTGCACGGCGTGCGAGATAGTTTCTATTGATAATTTAGATTACAGAAATTGTATTGAATGATACGTCTGTTTTAGAGTATTAGAAATTCGAGATGATCTCAAATCGACGAATTATGATTTTTTTAAAGGCTTTTCTGCTCCTCGCCACGATCATCTTTATTGATAATGTCAGAAACGAGAAAATATAAGCTCGAAGTTCTTGTAAAATGTGTTGAAATAAAAAATATATCTATCAAAAAATACTTCTAATCGATTGAATAGATTTTCAAATTATTCCGACAATTTTTCATTTGTTTTTAATAATCAATAATTCAAATTATTTCGAAAATTTTTCATTTGCTCTTAATAATCAGTAATTAAGTAACGTAAAACCAACACGGCTAATAATTTATTATTAAAATAACTAGATTATTATAGTTATTAATAATTATTAATAATTAGATGATTTTGTCATGTTTTATGCCTATTTAATTATTATTGGTACAAAAGAAAAGTTTTCAAAATAATTTAAAAGTCCGATCAATCGATCAGAAGAATGTCATTTCTTATGTCTTTTTGTTTTAATATATTTTGCAAGAATTTGGAGTGTGTATTTTTTGTTTCTGACGTTACCAATCAAAATGACCGTGACGCGGGACCAGGAGTTTTAAAGGGGATACTTTGTACTTTTAGTTTTCACAAAATGCATTGAAGATGCAGACTCTCGTTGATATCCAACTAGTCATAATAATAAAATAAATATCGATGAAGGGAAAAGAAAGACCGAGAAAGCGTTATTAATATGCTTCGAGTAAAAGATTTAACAATGAAAAATAATTGCAAAGACGTTACTTTTTCCTTTTTGCGTGAATTTATCGTATTGCTTTATACTCATATTTGATATTAACGTAACGCTTTCAATAGTCCAGATAAATGTTCTACAGTCACGACGACGACTCTCTCTCACAGTGAGCTGTAATGATTTCGTTTCCGATACAGATAAACTATACTGTATATAATATAAATACTTTTATGATATTAAGGAGAACAATTGATCTAATTAGGATTATGTTGAATAGCTAATGGAATACACATTCGTTTCATTTGACTCTCTGGTTAAGAAGGAACTACAACGGGAAAATTTTCGAAAAGAGGTATCTGCGTATGTGTGCACGCGACATGTGTGTACAATATGTACATAAATTATATATAAAAGTATATAGCAGGTCTGTGTACATATGTATCATTCTTTCGTGTAGGAATATATCATTACCTGACTATTAAAATGAACGTCGTTACGGACGTCGAAATTGTTGATTATTTCTGTTTCGGAGATGCATTTATTCCGCGTGCAAAATAAAATGCCACATCTTTTATATATAAGAAAAAAATTGATTTATTATGTACACATACACTACATACACACCGTCCTGCTGTCGAAAAATGCGCGTTGTATCCACAACGTACTATCTTGTATTATCTTTGTACGCAGAGGAAAGAAACGACCTAAATGCGTAAAGTTATATATTTCTTATCTGACAATCAGTGTCGTAACATGTCATATTTTTTCAAGATTCGAAACCACATTTGTTATTATCCGATTTTTTTTAATGTAGCAGCAATATGTATTAATTGTTTTTGCGCCTGCCTAGCGATTCTGTAATTTTTAACGACAGCGTCGTTATCGTTATGTTGTCATCGCGCAGATATAAGATGGTAGAGAAGCTGTACAACGATCACACACCATCCTTGCGACAGCAAGTCGTTATGAAATTAGAGAATCGGTCTATTGATCTGTTTGTAACGCAATTGTTCCATCCGGTGTAATTTGTCAAGTATACTTGTATACTTTCCCAACATTTGCACACATTTTTCTCCGACGAGAAGTTAGGAGCATATCAAATGATCACAACTGCGAGCCACTATTCACTTATATGCTAATCGGCTATGATACAGAAGTCGAATGATACTTTTCGGTGTAAATAATGGCTTTTTATTGTATTCTTATTCTGGTAGATAAAAATATAATAAAATTACATTTTTCCCCCGAATCTTCCAGTTTCTTGTAACGTCGAGTGTCACGTGTACTACATTCTCTTTGACGTTTGTTACAATCGATTGCTACGATTATAGTTTGTGAGTAGCGACTTACAATTGTGACCATTTGGTACGCTCTTAACTTCATGGGAAAAAGTATGTTGAAGCCGTTATGAAAACGAATATATACGGCTAAATTTATTTATTGTCATTGTCAGCGTGCGCAAAATGTTTTCATTGTCATAAGATATAATGAGAATTTCTGATAAACACCTAATCGGACGGTTTGCGTACCGCTTTTGATAAAACTTTCATTGCCGAATTTGGACATTTCGCGAAGAGATCTTCGATGATGAAGTTTCATGAGAAACCGAGACACTGCATATTACTATTTGCGTCGTGTAACGAAAATATCGGTTGTTCCACAGACGTGAACGTCGAATGATTATAGGATAGAAGAAAAAAAAAATAAAAAAATCCATATGTAAAATAAGAAAAAAGATTTAAGATCTGTAGGAGTATAAGTATGTGACTGTTTAGATTGTTATTATAAATATTATCAATAATTATAAGATGATCGACGAGCAAAACAACGACGTACATGTCTCAAGATGTATGAAGATAATATATCGAATTTGAATTGTACACGAATGTGTTTCTCATTCTCTTTTCCGCCTCTTCTAGACTAGAAAATTCTGTTCAAAAAAGAGGGGAGAGACAGAGAAAATGTTTCATCGAAATGTCTTCTCTTAAACGTTAATGTCGATTACGATTATTTCAAAAGGATATTGATAGAGATAAGGCTCTTACTTCCCAGAGCACAGAGAAATAAAAGAGAATTCAGTCGTATGTCCAATTCTGAGTTCATTTTCAGATGCAAAAAGAATTCTTCAGAGTTCAGTTCAGTGAAAAGAATTTTTTTGCACCTAAAAATGAACTCAGAATTGATGACATACGACTAAATTCTTTTTTAATTCTTTATGCTATCTGGGTTGCTATTTATTTTTACATTCAATGTAAAGTATGCAGCGTTAAGTATGAAAAATTTATTGGAAAAATTAAAGACGAGAACAATCCTATAAATAGTGGATATTCATGAATAATTTCGTTTTCAACAATTTCGTGACTCTTCGCAAAGCATTCATTCAAAGGACTGCGAAAGTTACATCGTACGCGGCACGTTGCGCACTCTAGAGGCGAGATCAAGCATGTATACTTTTAGAGCATCGATGAGATATTATCGACCTAGGGTAAGATTCGCGACTAATATTGGGACTCGGATGGTTCAAGAATAATCGAACAACATTGACATTATCGACTATTTCAACTGTTCGTCAGAGCATTATTATAAAATCTGAACGATTAATCTACAATTATCATTTTAGTATTAATAGCCCGTACCAATTTCATGAGACTGCAGCTTCGACGAGTTGAGTGAAAGCACGGAGGGTAGTGACTTGAACTTCCAACGGCCATAAAATACCGAACCCACGAAACATTACTCGGCGTTACCGACGGTTATTTCCGCGAGATTGACGTTTTTCGCGGCCACTTAGCAATACTCGTCACACTCTGAATGCATACCTCATTTTCAGCAGTCCCGATGATTATTCGAGTGCGAGACCTGTCCTTGGCGAGTCGGGATCGCGAGAAGCACGAAATCCGCCCTGTCTCGACGCGATCTGCTTCCTTACTAAGTATTCCGAGCCGCGGCGATTGCGATTCTCGAAACATGACGCGCTGCAACTTCACTCGGTACACTCGGCGCGATACGTTGTTCCCTAAATCTCTAGGAATGAAATTTCACTGAAAAGGTGAAGTGATCACCAATTCGCGCGAATTCGAATGATCGTTTATTCATACAGAGAAAATTCTCTGTTCTATGGTTGAGAGAATATTTTCGTTCGAAGTTGAAGAATGGATCTGATGTACTTCATTGTCATAGGATATATTCACTCTTGTGACTGGTCTATTTGCTGGTCTGTAATGTGCTCTTTACTTCCGGCTTCTTCTTCTCTATCCTTTTCTGTCTAAAAGCTTAAGATTTACGATATTTAAGATATCGAAAGAGATGAGAGGAAAGAAGCAGGAAACAAAGAATACATTATAGATCAGGCTTGAGTGGCAACATTTTTACTGTCGCCTCTGTATCGGCTCTTTTTTATTTTTAGACAACGTAAAATATGTGCAGAATATCATAAATTATATTAAAATATACAAAGAAGTGTATGTAGTTAACATATGAGACAGTTACCGTGCCTGTTTTGTATTAATTATCAAAACAATGTTTAAAACATGATAACAAATTGCATGAAATTTTTATTGTATTATGTGACAGATTAATAGATTCAATTCTGAAGGAATAAAAGAAAGTAATCGGCGAATCTGTGGACTTTAACTTGCTTCGGAAATAATTCTCAAAAATTTACATTAGGATTCTAAAGGATCTGAATAAAAATATAAAATATTTTTGATAAATTTTTTAATAAACCGTACATCCTTTAAACAATATTCATAGATTAGTACTTTTTGTCTATATACATGACATCTCATACATAGGCTGTGTTCCGATATTCACTGCCAATACTGAAAATTTATACAATAAATAAATAAATAAAATTAAATTTATTTAATATTATAATATACGTAACATGAACTATAGATTTTCAATACTGGCAGCGAATATCAAAACACAGCCATAGTTTGCATTGTTTACGACCGTAGAGTATCGTATAATTCACGCGTGAACGACCACCCCTACCTTTTATATTTGTAGTCAATCATCGACACGAGGTTCTCTTAAAGAACGTCGACGTGGGGTAAAAAGTTCCGTTTACCATTGAGACTCGACTTGGGCTTGGGAGCAGCGCGAGGCATCTACATTACCGATCATTTCGATCATAAATACGTAGACAGTTGGCCCGCGGTGAAGCGGGCAGTCATTAATTTTCTAAGTTTTCATTATCCAGAAGTGCGATTAACAACGAGGCATACAATTACAGCCGTTTCACAGGCCGGTCCAAGTATCGACGGCGACGCGAACTCGCATGAGGTTGTCGTTCTTTAATAGTACGTCGTCGATGGCCAACGGGACGCGAACGAGCCGCTAGAGGTCGCACCGTGCCGGCGTGGGTTCGCCGCCGCAGTGTCGTGCGTCGCTTCGCGCCGGTCGGTCGGTTTGATTTTTCCTTCGCGCTTCGCGCTCCGACTCGCCGTTGCAAGTTCGCGCACAGTAACGGGCGTGCGATGATCGCGTCGTGAATCCTGTATCGAGTGTCATCTCAGTACCTCGCGCTCGACGACTGTGTCCATTTCGTTCAGCTATTTCGCGCGCGCGATCTCACGTCCAGGGAAAGGATGCGGCGCGTTACTTCGCTTTTGCTGGCTCTGCTGCTCTGCCTGCGTAAGTACCGCAAAGGGAATCGAATAATAAGTGCACATACACCGGCGGCTCGACACGGCGCGAGACTTCCCTCCCTGCTGTTGCTGCCGGTGTCTGTTTCTCTGTCTGTCAGTCTGTCTGTCTGTTCGCTGGGGTGAATCACGCGGAGGGAAGAGCCGATCGAAGTTTCCGCGGCGGTGCGTTTCTCTTTCTCCCTCATTCTCTCTTTCTCTCTCTCTCTTTCTCCTTCTCCCTCTCGGAGATCCCATGCCGATCTCGCGATTCCGGTTCGCTTCGACCGGTTGCGGTGCGGTTTCTCTTTCTTCCTTTCCCGTCATCCTTTTTTTCGACGCTCGACGATGCAATTACGGCTAATTGAGTCCGGATCGCGCGGTCCGGCCGGCCCGCGCTCGGGCGGATTCGACTCCGAAAAAACGGAGCTCGCGAACGCGAGCGTTTCGCAGGAACGACGGGAGGGAAGCCCGGGATGATATTCCGACGATCGTTAGACCCCGCGATACATCGTCGGGCGCGGGCAACTCTGGGGGGATCTGTTGATATTGAGTTACGCGTTAACTTGGAGCCTCGCGAGAACGACGAGGGCGCAAGTATCATTCCGTGCGCGAGGAAATTCGAGATATCTGGCAAGTGCATCGGCGCGATACGGCGCGCACGATATACGTTTCGTCGAGCGTTGTTACGCGCTATACTACCTGCTCTGCTCTCGGTCGCATGTTACTGTTGCCTCGCGATAAGATCGCGTAATTCGTCGAGTAAAATATTTCGGTGTTATACCGGTTTGCTTAAGCGTGCGATTAAGTATCTCAGACACGTAGCGCGCGCAATGCATTGAAAAGATCTTTCGGAGTGTGTCGCATAAATCGCGTCTTACTTAGTCGCGTGTTGTTTGAAAGAACTGTCTCTTTTTTTTATGTACTTTTTAATGAAGGCGGCAGGTCACCTTCTTCCGCGTTTGATATCAGGTTGTATCGCGAAATGTTCTTTCCGAGGAAAATCTTCCGAGGAGAATCCACAGTATATATCACGTAGATTTTCAACAAAACTTGCTTCAGAAGGGATGTTTTGGAACGTAACCCTAAAGTCTTGTACAGAACGAGCCTCTGTATAATTCATTGATGTTCCCTTGAATCAATATTATTTTTTTCGATGTGTAACGATTATTTCGGAAATAAAATCGGTAATTCGATATTTTATCTCGTAATATTATTTTACTTTTAAATATTTCACGCTTAGCGTAATATCATAGGCTTTCCTATTTCGTAAAAAGGAGTAATTTGGCTCGGCGCATATTTACTGCGAATATCCTTCCCCTCTTTCTCTCATTTTCTCCCATTAAATATCCATTTTACCACGAAATTCGCGAGCGGAGTTACGTATTATCGTGAACTCGTGCTATGCACTGCGAATTCATTGCAAACCTGTTATTCGGCCGCCGACTACGACAACCGAACCGCATCATCGAGAGTATCACGCCGCTCTCGCAAGAAAAAAGAACGGAACAACGAGAGTAAAAGAAATTACAGTTCTCTCCTCGTCGTATCGTGCTTCTTTTTCTTCCTCTCTATAATTCGGCAACACGGGTTAAAGAGTCAGAGAGCTAAAGAGGAAAAAAAAGGGAAAGAGAGATAGAGATAACCCTTCGTCCAAATCGGAGCCGGCCAATTTGCGCCCTTCTCGCGGAGGATCTTACGAGAGAACTCTCGGAACCGAGACGTGGTCCGAGTGGTGGAAAGGATGCTGCCACTCTCCACCATGACGGTGGCTCTCCTCTCAAAGAGGAGGAACCGGTTCGATAGCCGCGCACACCTACACGATGTGAAGCGACGAGTGTACGCAGACTCAGTCTGCGAGCTAGCGGGCAGGAGGGCGGGCAGCGGGGTGGCCGACGTGTGGTATTACATGGGTGTACACCTATACCTAATATTGGCCACCACGGCTTCGAGGTGGGTGCGCGCGTGCTACGTACACGAGGTAACCCTGGAGAGAGTGCACCTATGATGCCCCGTGGCTCCTACCCTTCGATATCCTCCCCTCACCCTCACCCTCGCGTCTCTCTTCTTCTCTCCTTCTCTTTGCCCCTTCACTCATCCTACCACTCACCGACACCACTCGGCCATTCATCTTGGTCCGGCGCTCCTAATTACACGTCTCGGGTTACGGACGAGAAGCGGGATCGAGGTCCCGTCGAGACGTTCGGTGCCCCTGAAAAGAAGACAGGGGTACGCGGGCGGCTTGGCCCCCCGCGTCGCCCTTCGCGTTCTCTTCTCCTCTCGTTTTCGTCGCCGGCCATGTCCGTCTCGTTTCCCCCTTTCTACCCCGGTCGCGTACTTCTCGGTTTCCGTTCCTCTCTTCACGATCCGCCTCCTCCTCGCGCGCGCGAACGATGGCTTTCTTTTTTTGCCAGCTCCCCGCGACTAAGGGCCCTTTGTACGCGACCGGCGTGCGCGCGGTTATTTTATACGCCGAATGTTATTCAACGCGCCGCGCGGAGTTACCCGCGTCGCGCGTTCCGCGTCTCCCTTCCGCACGGCCGTTATTAGCCCGCGCGCTCGTTTTCCTCTGGTGCAGACGTTGCGTGACGCCGTCATAGTATACGCGTGTCTCGCTGCAGGGAGCGGCGAGAAAGAGAGAAGGAGAAATTGTATTAGCCCTTTGATCCTCCGAGCTGCTGAAACGACTCCGACAAGAAACAGAGTGAGCAAGAGAGAGAGAGAGAGAGAGAGAAAGGTTAATAAAGACGCGGGTGGCGCGTAGCACGTATAAAGAGCAAAACCGACATTCTTTTTCTGGAAACGCCGGCGACACGCGCGTGTATTGAGTCCCGCGTTGTGCTTGCGCTCGTTCGCAGCTGCAACGCGGATGCATATCGCGCGCGAGCACGTGAGATTTCAGTTCGACTATTTCTGGATACAAAGATTCGACGAATGTCTATTCAAGTCCTCGTAACGTCACTGGAAAAAGCTCTCTCTCTCTCCTCTCTCGCTCGCTAGGTAGTACAAATAACTAAATTTACAATATTTGGAATCGTCTGTCGCGTCTGCCTCCGCAAGTTGTAGAATTTTTTAAACAACCACATTTTTTAGATAATTTGCGACTATAAATATTTAGGAGTTGTGAATTTGACTCGTGAGTATCTGGAAACTGCAAGTCTAAGATCCGTATTAATAGTCATTATCTGAAGCTTGTTTCACGTGAGATATTCAGATCTAAATTTAGAGCTGGAGTTTTTTTATTGAATAACGTGTCACAATCAAATTATGAGGCAGTGACCATATCTGTTACTAATTATAAATGTAATTTTTAAAAGAGATAAATTGCATGATTTGTATTCGGTTACGTGACAGTTTAACTCTTTGCAAATAAGAATGTAATCAGAGTAATCTGTGGACTCTAATTTGTTTAGGAAACAACATTTACAAATTTTCACAAATATATCAAACGTTGAATGAAAGGTTAAATCAAGATATAAATTTTTCTTAATTAATTCTTAAATCATAAGAGCCATACGTTCTTAAACGGCACCGCTGGATTACTCATTGTCTCTAATTTGTTTAGGAAACAACATTTACAAATTTTCACAAATATATCAAACGTTGAATGAAAGGTTAAATCAAGATATAAATTTTTCTTAATTAATTCTTAAATCATAAGAGCCATACGTTCTTAAACGGCACCGCTGGATTACTCATTGTCTCTAATTTGTTTAGGAAACAACATTTACAAATTTTCACAAATATATCAAACGTTGAATGAAAGGTTAAATCAAGATATAAATTTTTCTTAATTAATTCTTAAATCATAAGAGCCATACGTTCTTAAACGGCACCGCTGGATTACTCATTGTCTCTAATTTGTTTAGGAAACAACATTTACAAATTTTCACAAATATATCAAACGTTGAATGAAAGGTTAAATCAAGATATAAATTTTTCTTAATTAATTCTTAAATCATAAGAGCCATACGTTCTTAAACGGCACCGCTGGATTACTCATTGTCTCTAATTTGTTTAGGAAACAACATTTACAAATTTTCACAAATATATCAAACGTTGAATGAAAGGTTAAATCAAGATATAAATTTTTCTTAATTAATTCTTAAATCATAAGAGCCATATGTTCTTAAACGGCACCGCTGGATTACTCATTGTCCACATGGATGATATCTCATTCACAGTTTACAGTTGTCCAGGCGTAAACATGGAGTGTCGTAATTCACGCGTAAACGTTCCCTGGTTGGAATCGTCGGGTGAACGCCCTGTCGTCGGAGATAGCGAAAATGATGGCTCATCTATCGGCAGGAAGCGCGTTCGGCGTTACTGCTGCATCTTTCGACCCCTCTTCAACCCTTTTCTTCCCATTCGAGTCGGTTATATGCCTCTCTTTCGCCAGCACGGCGGCTCAAAGCGCGCAAAACGGCTCGCCGCGAGCGAAGTCTGCGCCTGATGACCCCCGCGATGGAGTCCTCCGGATAATATATTTCGAGAAGCGAGTCGAGAGGCGCCAGATAGACGACATCCGGGCTATTTGAAATTCGCTTGCGCGTTGTCATTATGCACACTCCGAAAATGGCGCACTCTGCGCTCGCAGCCCATCTCGCCTCCTCTCATTTTCCGCTTGACGAGTTGCTTCTTTGACTGATTTCCGCGAATGGGAACTGCGCCAGTGCGATTCAGATCTTTTTATCATTCTCTCTTTCTGGTTTTTTTCTCTTTTTCTTCGTCTCTATTTTTCCGCCGAATGTCGACTGTATCGCGTAACCTCGCCGCTTTGGCGACGTGACAGTTTTGCTTGTTTCCGATTCCACTTGCCAATTAACACGACAATAGCGTTTTGCTCATGTGATCAATGAGACTTGCAGTAAAACGGAGAATTAAACTCGCAGCAATGAATTCCAAATAATCTCTTTTCTCCATGCGCCTGCGAGTTAGAAATAGTCTGTATCTCATCCTAAATGAGGGACGACGCACTTGAGCTTCGAGCAGCGAGCTTTCAAAAATCGA